CTCTTTCATTGGTTTATCTCTCTGGTAGGAAATTTTTGATATAGCAAAATAATTTGTAAAGCAATGCATCCCATCTGGTGGCTGCACCCATATCATTGGTTCCACCCCAAATCTCTGTCAATGCCAAATCTGGCTCTGGTGACAATACTTCACCACTGTTGATTTAGCAAATCTGAATCTAACGTCTAAAAACTTAAGTTCCATTCTGCGCACATGGTTTGTTCCATTTGGATTACTCTTTACAGGACTATTTCTTTGCCTTGTAACAGTCCACCACAGCAATCCAACAGCCCTGAAAGTTCCTGTGCCTGTCAGGGCAGGAGAGCTGTTGTAGAACCATGCTGGTTGATGCCCAAGCATCAGGACTTAGCAGCCGGATATCCAAAATATGACTGTGTGTGTACCATAAAAGAATGTTGCTGCCTTTCACTTTGTGCCATTATTCACACTAGTGCAAAAACTTACACAAGCAAAAACCGTCCACATGGGTGCTTATTTTACATGCGTGTGGGTGACCACAATGGTGAAAAGTAGGGGAACATCAAACCCACTTTCACTTTTCAGGTATGCACCAGGGCTTAAAAAAAAAACCTAGAAAACTGATTAACAAAGCAAGGAATAAAAAAGAGGAGGGTACAAGAAGAGGAGGGCTATAAAACACAACAAAAAAGAAGCTACAGGCCTCCTTTCAGCTACAGGTTTCCTATAGGTTCTTTCTTTCTTTCCTTCTTTTCCTCCCATTAAGAGGATCCAAAACCTTGGACTCAGCACACTTCTTATTTATATAAATATATAAATGGGGGGAGGGGGAGGAAGTTTTCTTTACACAAAAGTTTCTCTTTTACTTAAACGGTCATCTGCCAATCTAAAAGGCACCAGAAGGGAGAAGAAGAAAAATCCTTTTTACAAACCTTGCTGAGAGATGTGCCACAGAGGCCTCTGCCAGTATACAAGTTAATCCATCTGCATGCACATTTTAAAAATTACATGCACAGTTCAAGGGGCTTGGCTGGACAAAATTTGTCCAGAAGAATGTATGTGCAAAATTCTATATTTACCACTTGGATATTTCAGCCCTGAATGACTTAATGTACATGACACCCCCCAAACATGATGTTCTTTTAATCACATCACTTGATGGTGGTTTTCTATTTTGGGTACAGAGATGCTAAGCTTCTGGCCAGGTAACAGCAAGCGCTACGTTTACTAAGTCTGAAAACCAGTATGAATGATTATTTAAAATACTAATGCAATATATCAATCTATGGTCCTTTACTTGGCGATTCCAATATTGTATTCTACTTGTCCAGCCTTTGAGATATCATGATGGTGAAACACCTGACTTGGTTAAGCTGATTTTACTCATCTTTTGTTTCTATGTAGAAATGACGAGTTACTTTTCAGCAGAATGTTTTATAGGGAAAAAAAATCCCTATTGAGATGGCCTCAAGATACAATTAACTCTAGAATTTCTAACCTTTATAGAGACATGTCATTCTGCCTTTCTGTTTCCATTGGCAATTAGAATATTCAATGAAAGAGAAGAATCAAAAGGGATCTATTGACATTGACATAATAGAGGAGTCACAAGTAGATTTTACCTGTTGGGAATTGGTAGTCAAAATGTGGGCACGCTCAATTTACAATGGCTGTATCACCAACACTACATAAACAGGGAAGAAACCCTTCTTACACCCTCCTCTTTGCCTCAACTAGATACAACTAAGTATGCTCACATCCATAAGCGTATGCTGGCTAATCGTGTATCTGGTACACAGATAATTTGCTTATAGAGAACTGGTAATGTTGTATAATGCATACAGTATAAGGCAGACAATTAGCGTAGTATCATCCTGCACTTGTTGCTTTACAGATGTCTCTGTCGGTTGTATTTCCTGGAGTTCCTGTGCAGCCTCTCTCCTAATGACTCCTACTAGCACTGACAAATGACTCTCCTTTACACTTTCTAGGATGGCAGTCTCATTACCTCCAACCACTGCACGAGGGAACGGTACATCTACTTATATTCTCATTAGATCATCCCTGATGAGCACACTCTAATAATGAGGCTTAAGTGCTTCAGATGCTGCTGTAAAATCACCCACAGTTTATGAAAGCAGTGCCAACATCTGTGGAACGTACATATGCACGCAGGAAAGCAGAGCTGCTAGCCTGCCTGTACCTGCCTCCCAGGGCATCACTGCTGGTCCGCTTGAAGCTTTACATAAAAGTAGGGGCTGTGCATGCTCTGAATTTGGGTTCCTCACTGTGCCTGCACGGGAAAGTCTCTCTTACTATCTCAGATGTACCATAGCTAGTGTTAACACCACAAAGCAACAGGAGCACTCCGGTTCACCAACACTGTAGGAAAAACTAGCTCCTACACTCCTGGCATGAAGTTGAACATGGGTATGTGTAGGTGGGTGGGGGATGTTAAGAGATAACGGAGTAAGTTTAACATAAAAATCAATCACTTGAGCACAGCAGCCTCAGAAGTGAAATTCAGAGGCTTCTTTTTTCTTTCAATCTGTTTCCTCTATCAGGTAGTTCCCATTTTCTATAGCCTGATTTGTTAAGCAGGTTCCCCTAGCAGCCAGCAATATAATTACTTTGCCTATACACAGCACTGTGTAACACAGGTTCCTGCTGCTTCTGAAGTGTTCAGCACTGGGCTCACTGTGTGATTCACAAGCTAAGTTCACAGAATCAGACCAAAAAACCCATATGCAACCAACACTGTGTCTTCTGTCAACTTGCAACCATCACTGAGCTTTCTGTCAACTTGTAATTTAGGTGCTCTACTTCTGAACAGACAAAGTAAAAAGAGCTCAACAGCACCTGAAACCCTAAATCCTATTCAGGTTTTGTCAAACTATCATTCATCATCTTGTTCAGATGCGTAGCCCTTATTTCCCACACAAGACTGGAACTCATGAAACAGCCAAAGCACGGCTGCTTTCCAGAGCAGAGCTTTCATCTGCATCCACAAAACCCTGGAAATAGATATCGTACACAGAGCACATTTGATTTCAGAGACCTGCCTCAGGGAAGGAAGGCAGGAACGTGTGAAAACCAAGGCCCAAATTCACTGTGAAGGTGGGTGGATTCCTTATGGGAAGGTCTGTTAGCAGAGGAATAGACATTCCTTTGGAGCTCTTTTTACACAGAAATCTTATGGGGGCTTTGCAGTATTCTTGAATGCGTCTGAAAAATTCTAGGCATGTGAGATGAAATCCTGGCTCTCAATGAGAGTTTTGTCTCTGATTTCAGTAGGGTCAGGGTTTCTTTCATTCATAGACTTGTTTTGATTCTTTCATAGCAAAGACAGTACTTTATTGAGAGAAGACCAAATTCAATTGAGAATCCAAATTAGATTAAATGAAGTCTAAGCTGATGCATATTACACCCTTTTACAGCTTGTTTAAGATATATGTTACACCAACAAACTCTCTCTAAGACTTTCTGAGGAACATTTAGCCCTCTCAGTCCTCAAAGTTCTTTACATTTGGCCTTGACTACAAAGCTTGAGCATTATGCTTGTTTAGCATTACATTACATGAAAACTCACTGAAACTGGTCTAAATGTCTACTTTTCTGGCTTGACAAAAAATAACACAGGCATAATGTGTTGTATGCCACTTTCATTATTTATCATTATGCTGTTCGGAAATCGTGCCCCTTTACCAAAGCAGTTTTGGCATGATCCATACTCTCTGACTCTTAACAGAAAAAAAATAAAAAAACCCACCAAACCATAGCTTTATGAAATCTTTCTTACAAACTTGCATGAAGCTCACCTTCCTGCTAAAAGTACAACTGGCTTTGAGAAAGGCTGACCAGATAAAAAGGAGATCACATGATCCCTCTTCTTTGAATCACTGCAAATGTATCTATCACATCTAATTAACCCCCTCAGTGCTACAGTTCTCATTTCAGATATATTCACAAGGCTCAAATTCCCTGGACACAGAAATGCTGCTCTCAAGGCAGAATAATGCAGTTCTTTAAACTTTGAAACCAGACACCTAGAATACCCAAGGCAAACCCCTACGGATAAGAATATCAGGGAGTTGCATTAGACGCTGCCAGTACCAGAATAATCTCCCTTTTCTGACACACAGACATAAAAAGGGGTATTTGGACACGTGGTATGCAAGGAGGAGAAACAAAGAACCACGGGGGAAACCCGATCAACCTATTCAGTTGAGAACCAAATACCTATTTATGAACATGAAGCAGTGAAGAGGACACACAGTATAGTGCTACTGGACTTCAATCAACATTACTCAAATGTTAAAA